TCTTTCCCTGTCATTTGCAGTAACAAACTAGTCCTCAATAGCTAACTGAGGTACAGTGTGGGCATCCTCCGTGGGGAGAGGGCAGTGTCCACCAGGTCTTTTCTGGTACTAGACTGTGTTCTTCACAAAGGCTAGCTCAGTCCCGCACCATGTTTACATGCACCACTGTTTTACCTTGTAGGGGACTGGGGGGAGGGGGATCATCTGAGTTCTCTTTTTTGTATAAAGGCATATCATAGATGGATCATTGTATTTTACAAAACACACTTTTATCAGATGCAAATATAGCAAAGAATTAGTAATATAGCCCGAAAACAAGAGTAAGCATGATCAGTGAGCAGGATTTCCAAGGGGCTGTCCTTTATTTGCCTGCTGATGCCCTCAACGCCACTCTGCACTGGGCGCCACCCTGATGTTATGACTGATGGTAGCTCAGAGTCTTCTTTTTCTGTTTTTCTTCTCTGACTTTGATGTTGGCACTAAATGCATTTGGGGATGGTAGAAACAAAGTAATGAAAAACATTTCAATGATCGGCTTAAGGGCAAACAAGGGTAATTTATTAGAAAAATAAGAGCTAGAGCCAGACGTTGGGGAACCAGACATTGGGGGAGCCAGACACAGCACCCCCAGAACCCGTGCAGGCATAGTTTGTTTCATCATCACCCCAAGGAGTCACCTCTCAGGTGGCTGTAGCCAGGACAGGGACCAGCACAAAAGGCTTCCCAGTCTCTTTCAATTGCTTTTAAAGAGGATAAAATTGTTTCTGTTTCTAAAAATACATATTTTTTTAATTTGTCACTGAGTTTGCCCGATTTACCTCACAGAAGAACCAAACTCTTCTCAGAAGGGACTGGAACTGCATCATTGTTGAAATAGAGTATGCTTTTGGTTTGGGATTATAAGGCTAGTAAGACAGTTTTCTGTGATAAGAGCATTGTAGATTTCCCTGTTGTCACTAATTACACAAAGAACAATTCTGAGAAGAAGGCTATAAAACAAAAATAAAGGTTTATGTCTCCCACTTTTAAATTAACCAAAAAAATAACACAAAAAACAAAACTGAAAAGATGTGAATTTTCCCCTAGTTACATGGGAAGGACAAAGTAACACCAAATAAAAGGCCACAAAGCTACATCTTTAGGATATCTTGTGCCTGTGTGAACGAAGAGTGACACGTTAACTGAAATACCTCATTGACTATTATACTACTACTAGTAACATTCAGAAGACAGTGTTAATGTGTTCGCTTTGATAATGGTTGTCATGAAATGCTTTTTTTTTTTTTTTCATCTAAGCCTTTCATTATGTGTTCTACAGTGACAGTGAGTAAGTAACACCAATCTCACCTTAGAGGGATGATGATACAAAGCCCAACAGAAGCTTAATGTGCTTCTGCTTGGGGCCCAGTAAACATAACTAAATAACAAGACGAACTGAAATTGTTCTTTTGAGAGGAGCGGTCAGCCGTCTGGGGGAAAAGTAGCGTGAGCAACTGTCCAGTGTAGCATGCACAGTCCTAGTGAACAGACCTTTTCCTCATTGCTAAAGCAAGGCACAGGGTATGGTGGCCAGTTCTCCTATCCAAAAATAAATGCATACCTTCATACATGAATGTGGCTTAGGGCCACTCTAGCTGTCACTGTGTTCCTAAGGAACATGATACTAGGAAATATGCCATATGCAGTAAACAGACTATCCTGTAAGATGCTTTACTTTTCAAGCACAGTGTCATTTCCACAGTATCCAGAGTGACAAGTACGTCCCAATAGATGCGTGAGTTCATTTTTGAAAATAGATCTGTGAATTGTAAATAGATGTGTATTTGCTCTGCCCTGTCCCTCCTCAATTCTTTATCAACATGTTCTCTCTCTTCTGTTTGCAAAATATGTTTGTTTGAGAACATTGACAATACTTTCCGTATCAGTAACTGGAGTTCTCCACTTGCAGTAGGGACTGTAAACAGAGAATCGGTGTTCTCCTGTGGCAATCTGGGGGAGCAGCAATATGCCACTGTACGGAATAAAAATGCCTAATTTGTACTTTCTTTGTGTGAAAGAAGGTTTAAAGGGTATACATTTTGTCAAAGGGAAAGAAAATAAATAAAATATGCCAGCTTTATGCCAGTAGCTTAGTTAGAATCTCAGCACCTGTTGATCTCTACTAGACTGCCTCGATTCCCACAGCAGACGGGGTTGAGAATGCGTCGCTAGAGTCCCAGTAGCAAAGGGTCACAGAAGTGGAGCATGTGCTTGGCCATAGGCAAGGCCAGGGACCACAAAAGTGACCAAGCCAGCAGTTCACTCTTCACTTCAGAAATAATTATTGGTATCAAAATGTACATATATTGTGGAGAAAGCTATAGGAAATGGAAGGTAAAGAAAAATTACAGAATGGAAAATAATGTTTTAGGGTGGGCAAATTACTTGAAAATCTTAATAGTAAAGAAAAGATAGCTCTAAGTTCGGATCTGTCATATTATTAAGTAGTTTTAAATATTACAACCAATCCTTAGTTTTCCACAGTGAAGGAACTAGACTTACTGGATTAATCAATTACTAGATAACTAATGTATAGTAATTAATCCAGTAATAAGTCATAGGTAAGCCAAAACTCTAAGTTTATTTAGGAGTTTGAATTTTTGGTCTCATCTCTCTTCTGGAGATGCTTACTAATTAAAAATTATTTGTGGTGTTTAATAATTTCTCTTGCCTATGTATGGGGTTGTCGGAAAAGTCATGATGTATTTTTCTAGGTTTTTCTATGCAAAAATGCATCTTGACTTTTCAGACGACCCAGTATTTATGACTGTGTTAATAATGTATAGTGAAATGATATGGAAAGACAGACAGCTATTTGGAAGAAAAAAATACAAAAGCCTGAATAATCTGTGGGCTAGAAAAGGCATCCCTTAGTAATCAAGAGTAGGTGGTATTGAAATTGTTCTGAAGCCTTTTATGAAAGTGAAATTTCACATCACCAAATGTAAACCTCAGACATCATTCCAGTGTTGCCATCGTCTGGACTGATGTCAGGGACGCCTCTTCATTCTCTGCTCATGTCGCTCACTTCTTGTGGATTAGTCTTAGTAATGTTTTGACAATCATTTCCCTAATGCATTTTCTGAACTAGTCGGGCCTAGGTATAATCGTAGAAAGTAGTCTTTAATCATGGGTAGTCTGCTTGGATACTTTTTGTATTTAAAAAAAGACATGTTTTATTTGCACTACTGCATAGGAAGAGTTCATTGTTTTCTTTGTCCTTTTTCTGAAGTTACACAGGACTTCACTCTGGAGTTACCAGCATGAGCGCACTCAGCTTGGTCCACACAGGACAGATCAAAATGCTCTGTTAGTGTTTCTGTCCTGCGGTGCTGGAAGCCTCGTGTCTGTCCGCCCGAGAGGCGCAGCCACAAGCAGCACCAGGCAGCGGGTACACTGGTTCATTTTACAAGGGTAGAGTCTAATGTGTTTGGGACCAAAACCACCTAAGTTAGCAAATTCTAGATTATGAAGGGGCCGGGTGTTCTCTGGAGCAGTCTTTGGTTGGTGCTTATCGTAATCATTTTGCACCGATCCCCAGCAATTAGGAGCTGGACCCTGGGAGTAAGCTGAGGGTGCCGAACTGTTGGGGGAGGGTGACTGTAGCCATGTGGAAGATAAAATAGGGATTTTTTTCTGCAGAATTTCCATCTGAGGATTTTTACATTTAATATTTTTTTAAAACAATTTAAAGAGCAAAAATTTTGTTAAGTGTATTCTTGTTGCAACGTATGCACACATATCTTGGATGGCTTTATTTTTATTGTGTACAACTGTTGAACACGTGACTGTGGTGCACAAATTCTTCATACATAAAGAGTCTATGCATTTTACAGTAACTTATTTTAAGATTGGGTAATGAGACAGTTCTACATTCAACTGCCATTATTTTTATTAAGTGCTTTCCTTTTCTTTACAGTTATTGCAAAGTTGTATTTATTTTATACAGATGGAGTTTTATTTTCCTGACGCCGTCACGTTTACTTCAGCTTATTGCCCGTTCTTTCTTTGTGTATCTGCATGTTGTAATGTGTGATAAGAATGAATGTAAAGGCTGTGGCAACTAATTAATTTTTGTAAAGGGCTGGTCACACGTGGATCTGGTTTATGAATGCATTTGGGATGATCTTAGTAACCAGATCACCTTTTCAGAAATTTAGATGTGAACACCAAAAGAAGCATTTTCTCAACAAAAATTAATAGCTGGTTCTATTTTTTTTTTAAATCTAGAAAAAATAAAGTTGATTTTTTTCAAGTAAAGTGCTTTTAATTCTTAGTAGTGGGATGGGGAGTTGGGGTTTTACTATAGCGATTTGGGCTTCGACATCTGTAGACATGTATTTAGAGTACACTGTGGCAGAAGGATGCCAAGGGCAAACTGGAAAACCAAATGAACTTCTTTCTTTGGCTTTAAAATATTTCCCCCTCCTCTCCTTTCTCCCTATCCAGTGGTGTGCTGGTAAATGCCCTAACACTCTGTTCTCTGGGGAGGGGGAGGGAAGTATATATACAAGTATGTTCAAGTTTGTTATAAGTTTTTGCTAATTGCAAGGCTGTATAACATAATTAACAAGGGAC